GCCCTGCAGCCTCTCAGCTCTGATGCAGGACTGCTTGTCTCCCACTTCTTGAGATTGAAGGCTTCATTGCTGTCGCTGATCCTGGGCCGAGACTTTAAGGCCTTTCCAGGGTCTGTGGGGAGGTCAGACACGTTCCCAGGTGAAGCGTTCCACTGGCACCAGAATTCCATGTGAGCTGTGCCCGGCAGTGCCCACGCGCTCAGTGTGTCTTCGAACCCCAGCCGCACGCAGCGGCTGTCTCCTCTGGGTGCCCCACTCCACTGCTGCTCGGACCGCTTATTTTTAGCAACTGGGTCAGCATGACACAACATCCATCACACACACGTGCACGCACACACACAGGGAGACGGATAGAGGGAAGAGACAGTGAGAGGGGGGAAAGACATGGAGGGGTGTGGGCACGGAGCAAAGGCGACAAACACAATCTATCACCCTGCATCCACACTCGTCCTCACTCCGCACAGGAGCTGCGGTATGGCCACGTCACTGCAGGGCTCAGACACCTGGCCTGCTCTGTGTCTGTCCGGCAGACGTCTTCAGCTTTTCATGTTAATACCAATCCCGCTCTGGAGCCCGGAATTCTCCAGTGGGCAGGAGGAGAGAGACGGGAGACGTATCCCAGGCGTGGTCTGTGGTGGAGGGTTGGGACCTGGAGACAGCGAAAGGCCAAGTTAGCAGGTGTCACCTACCAGTTCACATGGTCAGTGTTGGCCCTGCTGAGAGCCCAGTGCTGGGGGAGTCCACACGGTCAGTGTTGGCCCTGCTGAGAGCCCAGTGCTGGGGGAGTCCACACGGTCAGTGTTGGCCCTGCTGAGAGCCCAGTGCTGGGGGAGTCCACACGGTCAGTGTTGGCCCTGCTGAGAGCCCAGTGCTGGGGGAGTCCACACGGTCAGTGTTGCTTTGTCAGGTGAGTAGAACAAGCGCCCAGGACTGAGGATCCGTTAGGAGCACCCGAATGAGTATGGTGGGCTACTCTCCTCTCACTCGTGACCCTTTGAATGTTCTCATCATCTTATTTACAACCACTGTCACTGGAGGCAAAATGGAAAGAGAGAAATCTGTCATTGCTCTGAGATCACTGGAGCAGTTTTACCAGCTATGCGCTGATGAATGTTACATTAGAACAATTGCTGCAAATTAATAGCTAACAATTAATGATAAACGTTACAGCAACCAGTATCTGGTAATTAAAACTGTCCTTTGAGAGGGTCTCCTGCAGCTTATTCCTGTCCCACCTCAGGGTGTCAGTAATTAGAGTCTCTCCCCTGCAGGGTACAGAGCCTCACGCAGTGTCTGATCAGCAGCAGCGTGAAAGGAGACACAGACAGTGGTGGAGTCATACAGGGACACTCAGAGACGAGCAGGCACTCACACACCCCCGTCCCATTCACAGCCTTCACAGCGAGGAAGTTCTCACACACAGTGCGACCCACCACAGACCTCCTGCCTGATCCCAGGACAGAGTCCTACAGGCTCAGGGTGAGGAGACATGGTTTCCTATTGGGCTCAGGGTGAGGAGACAGTTTCAGTCTCGGGCTCAGGGTGAGGAGACAGTTTCAGTCTCGGGCTCAGGGTGAGGAGACATGGTTTCCCTATTGGGCTCAGGGTGGGGAGACAGTTTCACTGTCGGGCTCAGGGTGAGGAGACACAGTTCAATTGCTGAATTTTCTTCCACCTCAGCCGTAATGTGTGGCACACAGCTAATTAAGCTCAGCTGTGTGTAATCAAGATCACTGTTCGCAGGTTCTGTGGACAGGGAACTGTGCTGAAACACTGTAGCTCTACCAGGGATGTTCTGTGCTTCTGCCTGGGCTGAGGAGACCTGGCCTGGCATCATCATTGAGGCTTGTAACTGACCAGACCACTCTCCCCTGGCGCGGACTCATGTTCATCAATTAGTGTAATTAACCGTCACCAGTAAAGGTCAGACGGTGGATGAGAAGGAAACCTTCACACATTTTAAATCAATTAATTAATAGGACACTAATGGAAATGTAATGCAACATGAAATCTTAATTCAGTGTAGATGTACAATGCTGAACACTGTGTTATTAAATGGCATGTGGTGCATTTTCAACTAAGTCATGTGGGAATATCTGGTTAATGTATTTTCCCTGAATCAAACTAAAAACATTAACATGCTGTGTTATATTCACCATAAAAAATTTCACTGATGTTACTTGTAGATTAAATCCGTCAGTGTTTTGCAGAACTGCAGAATAAAATCTCTCTCGGCTTTTCAGTTTCTGAAGGAATGTTTTTTTTGTTTTTCTGTCGACGTAAGAATGGACACAATTATCAAGCGGGCATGTTGAGTCTGCAGACAGCGAGCTGCTGTCGCCCTGCATGTTGGACTAGTGAGTGTTGCTGACGTAACAGTGCAGTGACAGCTCACTTCTGTACCACTGCGACAGCACTGACCACAGTCCACACAGGGTGAACCGGCAGAAAAATAGTACAACTACACTCTGTAGGAGCAAATATTATGGTACTTTAAAATCCCATTTGAGATCTTGCTGGTCATTCCCTGCTTGACTCACACACCCTGACTTCACATCCCAGGAAAATATAGTCCTAGCTTCACCAGAAACATTGTTGTGAGGGACTCATCAAGTTTGTGCTGAGAAATTGCTGCACTGTGTTCAGCCGTGCAGTAGCACAGGGTTACAGACCTGGAAGGCAGTGTGTTCAGTAGCTCAATTTCAGTGTACTGGACTGCAGTGAATTCAATGGCTCAGTGTTAGAAGCTGGGACTGCAGTGTGCTCAGTATCTCAGTGTCGGTGTGCTAGACTGCAGTATGTTCAGTAGTTCAGTGTCAGTGTGCTGATCTGCAGTGTGCTCAGTAGCTCAGTGTCGGTGTGCTGGGCTGCAGTGTGCTCAGTAGCTCAGTGTCG